CACGGTGTCCACGCCGCCCGCGGTGAACTCGGTGACGTTGGCTTTGATGTTGGGGAGGGGGAGGTGCCCCTGCAGCAGCAGCTCCGCCAGGACCCCCTCGGGACCCCCCGGGACCCCCCCGGCACCGGCACCGGCACCGGCACCGGCCCCGGGCCCGGCCCGGCAGAACTCCCGGTAGATCCGCTGGATGCTCTCGTCAGCTGCGGGACGGGGGGTCAGACCGGGGGGCACCGGGACCCCCCCGGGACCCCCTCGGGACCCCCCGGGACCCCCTCGGGACCCCCCGGGACCCCCCCGGCACCGGCACCGGCACCGGCACCGGGCCCGGCCCGGCAGAACTCCCGGTAGATCCGCTGGATGCTCTCGTCAGCTGCGGGACGGGCGGGTCAGACCGGAGGGCACCGGGACCCCCCCGGAACCCCCGGAACCCCCTCGGGACCCCCCGGGACCCCCCCGGGACCCCCCCGGTACCGGCACCGGCACCGGCACCGGCACCGGCACCGGCACCGGCACCGGCCCGGCAGAACTCCCGGTAGATCCGCTGGATGCTCTCGTCAGCTGCGGGACGGGCGGGTCAGACCGGGGGGCACCGGGACCCCCCCGGAACCCCCGGAACCCCCCCGGGACCCCCCCGGGACCCCCTCGGGACCCCCTCGGGACCCCCCGGGACCCCCCGGGACCCCCCCGGTACCGGCACCGGCACCGGCACCGGCACCGGCACCGGCACCGGCACCGGGCCCCGCCCGGCAGAACTCCCGGTAGATCCGCTGGATGCTCTCGTCAGCTGCGGGACGGGCGGGTCAGACCGGGGGGCACCGGGACCCCCACCCCGAATTTGGGGGGTCACAGCTGGGGGGGGGCACCGGAACCCCCCGGGACCCCCTCCGGGACCCCCCCGGTACCGGCGGAACTCCCGGTAGGGGGGCACCGGGACCCCCAGACAGAGCCCCCACCCCCGAATTTCGGGAGTCCCAATTGTGGGGGGGGCACCGGGACCCCCCCGGTACCGGCGGAACTCCCGGTAGGGCGGCACCGGGACCCCCAGACAGAGCCCCCACCCCCGAATTTGGGGGGGTCCCAATTGTGGGGGGGGCACCGGGACCCCCGCCCAGAGCCCACCCAAAAAGGGGGAGGGGTCCCAAAAATTGAGGGGGGTCTAAAAAGTGGGGAGGGGTCCCAAAAATTGGGGGGGACCTCAAATGAGGGGGGGGTCCCACGGGTGGGGGTCCCAAA